TCCCCATATGTCCAGATTTACCTGGACGCTGCCTTTAATTTATAGTTAGAACGTTCTCTTGTCGTCCGTTGCTATATCGATATTTTAGTGATGCCAAGGTCATTCGTGATGTAACTACGCTCAAGTCTAAGGGATACGGTTTTGTTTCATATCCAAAGCGAGAGGTCAGTATCTTTGCTGGGCATTTGTCAGGAGTTTCCTAATTTTGAACTTCAGGAAGCAGAACGAGCTATTGAGCAAATGAATGGACAGTGGCTTGGTCGTCGCACAATTCGTACGAATTGGGCTACACGTAAGCCTGGACAGGGAGGCGGTGACCAGCCTGCTTCGAATGAGAAAACCTACGAGGACATTTTCAATATGACGACTCCTGACAATACATCCGTTTACGTGGGAAATGTCGCAGGAGGTGTTTGTGGTGAGTTATTGGTTTTTATACCCTAGCCAATTTTTGCGAAATGAACTCTTCATGGTCGCGTTAGTCGTTAGTCTTAATGGTGAGTCTTTTCAGAAGAGGACATTCGTGAAGCTTTTGGGCAGTTTGGCAGGATACTCGAAGTTCGTATTTTCAAAGTTCAAGGATATGCCTTTGTGAAATTTGACTCGAAAGACTGTGCTTGTCGCGCAATTCTCAGAATGAATGGTGGCGACCTTGGAGGAAATACCATTCGGTGCTCATGGGGAAAGACCAGCGATGTGAGTATGCCTTTAGTTGTCGGTCACTGCTGAATATTGTGTATTTCAGTCCGATAAACGTAATCAGGGCTACAGTAACTATGGACAAGGTGCTTATGGATATGGTGGACAAGCTACTGGTAGCAGCTACGGACCACCTGCTCCTGCCACTGGAGGACCTGGTGGAGCTGCGGCTGCTGCCGCGGCTCAGGCACAGCAACAATACTACAATTACTACGCTCAATATTACAGTAATCCACAGGTCATGCAGCAATGAGCAAGGTGATTGCATTTCCTTTGTGTATTTACTTGCAGATATGTCTGAGGTATCGTCTCGGCAGAATTTCATCTTCCATTTTTCACCTTTTCGAATCCTTTTCGTCATGAGGAATCTATGTTTGGGCTTTTCAGCGCATGAAAATAGCGGAAATAGCTTTTTCGAGGCTTTTTAAGTTCGCATTCAGTGAAGATACGACGTGGCCTTTCACGCCCCACCTCCTTTATTCCGGGCCCCGCCCACTTACACGTATTTTCCTCTGGATGCGGACTTAAAAAGCTTTGGAAAAGCTCATTTTCGCCATTTCTTGAGCTGAAAAGCCCAGATGTGGGTTCCTCATGGCGATAAGGTTCGAAAAGGTGAAAATGTGGAAGACGAAACTCTGTCGAGACACTGCCTTTGAGGTGGAATTTTAACTATGGGAATGGGCAAATAATCAAAAAAATTGTCTTCGGTTTTCTTGAAAACAATGCAAAGTTATCTTACCTTGAAAGTTACTAATTTCAGCTACTGGCAGCAGCAGCAAGGAGGCGCTGGACAACCAGGCTCAGGAGCAGCAAATGGCAACCGTTAAGTTAAGCTTG